TTAATGATGTGTTTTTGGGGGGAGACAACTACACATTATTTCTCATGCAAAAGGAACCACTCAGTTGTAGCCCCCAGGATGCAGATACAGCTGTGTTTGAGATGGAGGTTTGTCCTCGTTTCTCTGGGGTGTCATGGCTATTGGAGAGAGGGAAAAAATGGTAGTTTTCTCATTCACCTTTAGCCAGTGTCCTGGTTGTAAGGGGGGGTGGTGGTAAAGAGGAGGCGGGTAGTGACATCTGAGTTTGGCAGGGAGACTTGCTGAAGGAGAGAGTTTGTTGTAATTGCTCTGACAGGTTTTAAGGCTGTTAATGACTCCGGCCTGAACGCTACCAATTTGTCAGCATGCTTGCTGTTTACTAAGCTGTTGTTTTATGGTCCAGTGCAAGGGGCTGCTGCTTGTTTAAGCACAGATCAGGAAATAATCAGCGTAAAACACTGGCTGCAGTGGTGCAGCCACACTAAAACAGTTCCGTTTAGAGCCCTCATCTACTGTATGGATCTGAATGAGCGCAGTAAACCATATGGCATGTGGTCACACAGAGACACACAAACACACTGATGGCTTACTTACTGTTAGAAATTGGATGCTCAAGTGTGTGTTTTATCATTAAAGGGATTATGTTCTACTCGTTAGCACTTTGTCGATGTTGTATGTTACCAGAGTGCGAAGCATATTGCTAGCATGCGGTTATAGCAAGAAGACCTGTAATCCCCAGTCTGCACAGAGCAACAGAGGGCTAGCCGTCCCACTAGTGTGAATAGAGCCTCTGCGTGTTTGTGTATGTGTGTATGTGAGAGAGATTGTGTGTGTGTCAAGAGCATGTGGTCCCAGAGCCGGCAAAGACCCCTTCGTAAATCCAGAGTAAATAAAAGGGGTAACCAGACGGACAAAAGAGGAGCCCCCACTGCTTCTCTCATTCGCTGCCATTTGGGGGACTGAATGTGCTAAACGCCGCTTATGTTGGCTGAAAAGTTGAGGAGAAAAAGAGGGAAAAGGGAGGCTCTAAATCCCCCCTCTTCTTTTCTCTTCATTCTCTGCGGCCAAGCCTGCAGGGATAGAGGTGGTGTAATAGGAGGGTGTTGTAGGGAGAGGTGGAGGCCGGGTCACTATGGTGTGCTAAAGGTAGAGAGAGGGCCAAAGAAGCTCTTGCAACTTCTCTTCTCCATCTATTCCCCTTTTTTCCTTCAAACTCTCCTCACAAGTTTTTTTCCTCTTCTCCCTTCTTTTTTTTTTTTTTTTTTTTGGGTGAGCTTGGGTGAACATGCCTGAGTAGTCTGGGCTGACAGGGGGCGTGGGGGGTCTGTTGTAATTAGTCACTTTAACCACAGCTTCCATAAGCCACTGCTTCTACACTCTTGCTTCATTACCCTGAAACAAACGCCGGGGCCTCCCAGCGCAAAATCACTGCACAGCCTTTAGAATAATACACACAATATCTAAAGCTTGTCTAGAGGCTCTTCGCTATATGTATTAAGAGTACAGGGACCAGTCTGGAGTGTTATTTGATAACTAACCATGACTGGGTTTGAATGTGTTTTCCAGCTATTGACAAGTCATTATTTATTCACGCGTGAGTATATGAGAATGGTAGAGAGGCGGAGGGAGGGCATTCTTGGTGTACTGATAGCTGTAATATGTGTTACTCGTGGTCATATCCATAATACTTCCAGGGCTGACTAGACCTTAGTGGCTCCCTTAGGGGTAGGGTACCTTCTAGACATAAAGCATGAGCTGTGGAGTCATTAAGACTCCCCTGAAGTCCCCCTTACTCTCAACAGAGACTGTAGGACACCTTGTACTAAACAAATTTTTTGTGCAAGAAATCCTGCAGCGACCCTGAATGTGCCAACATTAGATAAGCAGAGTTGCAATGTGTTTACAGTCCTATCCCAACCCGTTAATGAGCTCAGCCCTGAGACCAATTTACTCACAAGGAGATATATCTGAATGCATTTTTAATAACCACCCACTGGTGATGAGAGAGGGAATGTATGTGAGCGTAATGTGCTCGTGGACTTGTGCTTGCTTGTTTGTTTGCTAGCGCGCTCGCTCACTCTCTCAACCTCATTGCGTTCGGTCATTGTCTTCCATCTTGCCTGATTACACCTCTTCGGCTTCTGTGCATATGAAAATATGCACAGAAACTTTCATTGCAGGCACTTTAAGTCAAGATCGTGATAGAGTGAACGAGGGAGGAGGAGGAAAGGTTGAGGGAAGACAGAAAGAGAGTGGGGAGAGTGGGAGAGAGGAGGGGGGGCTGTCTTTTTTCCGTCTCCAAGGGCGCTGCTTTTCCAAAAGTGCCTGGGGCTACACTCCAGCACCTCGGCTCCCCTAGGCCTTTAGACTGCCTCCTAATAGCCAACCCCCATCTGTGTCACATGGCCAGATGATGGGACGCTTCCCCCTGCTCTGCCCTGCACTTTTTTTTTCCTTCCCCGATTTTTTTTCAGAGTGCACATCCACACAGGTTAGAATGGCAGAGTTGCCAGGGAACAGTCAGAAGCCATTAGCGTTTGGGACAATTTGCCCTGCAGCGTTCCTTCTCTCGCTCATAAGAAAGGAGTGGGGGTGGATGCAAAGCACCAGCTCTCCTTTAGATGTAATGAGGTTGTGCAAGTTGGATCTTCTTTATTCTATTTCTACTCCTTCTTTATTGCCCCTGCTTCGTCTTGTTTCTGTTCTTTCTTTCTTTGTTTCTCTCTTTCTTTTCATGTTCTGTCCACACTTGATTTTTCTTTATTCTCTATTTAGAATATGTCTGTGTATCTATATATATATATATATAGGAAATTCCAAACAATTATTAAAAGTGTACACAGAATTAATGCTTAAATGCCACATGTCTGATCTGTGGACACATGTCAGTATCCATGTGCATGTAAGAGCGAGAGGAGCTGAAAAGCACTGGAGTCTGGTTTCATCCTTGCGGGCTAGGGCAGGAGGCAGCGAGCATGCTGGGTAATGAAGTGACAGGTCAGTCTGTAAATACGCACGGGTCGCTCTGGCCCTGGCCAGGGGGAAGGCTATCGCATTGCAGTGAAAATGGAAACGTCAATAAAATTAATCTGCCAGCCTTTTGGCCACTGTGTGGTTCTATTGGATGAGCCTGACTGCTCACAGCAGGAGAGGGATTTGGAGACTAGCTTGAAAATCAACACAAAACCTAGCGGCATACAAACAAACACCAAACTGTGTATCAACATTATTCAGTGAAGCTCAAAAGCAGAGAAACAAAGGGGGGGTGGTTAAAATTCACAGCTCACTAGTTGTGTTTTTATTGAAGTTTGGAAGCAAACTGAGGGAGTTAGACTCAGCTTCCGTCTGGGTCGCATTTCTCAGGAAGCCCCTCACAGTCAGGGTAGGGCTGTAGCCAGACCAAAGTTTATTGTTTTAGGCTTTCCTGAACAAGGATTCGTACTTAGCCTGGGATTTATGGCATTTGCCACTAATGAATGCCCATTCTACAATTACAACATCCCTAGTCTGTGTCCCCATTCCCATATGTCCTTCAGAAGGGCTGTTGCTTCTTTAACTTCACACAGGGAGCGCAAAGTCGGCACTTCTCTGTTTTCCTCTTTCGTGTGGCTCCGCACTAATGATGTGGAAGGAAAACACTGTGCACAGACAGAAAAGAAAGACAGAGAAAAAAAGAGAGGGAAAACAAGGGGGAGGGAAAAAAAAAAAGAAAGTGGGAAAAGTAGTTAGAAGTGCGGGCCCCTGCTGTCCTTGTATTCTTCATTTATTTTGCATTTGATTACGCCAGCAGTCGGATCCTTTTTCTTTCCCCCTTTTTAATGTTATTAGTTCAAATATTTATGCGAGATTAAGGCTTGTATAGGTGGTTGTGATTGATGCCTCCCTAAAAACAGGAGGACATGCGAGTCTGAATTTTGAGAATGTCAGGGTCCTTCTCTTCCTTAGTGGAGGAGTTTTTCAGATACATAATTTAGATGCCCTCAAGGAAGGCTTTCAAGGCATTTTTGCCCGGGGGCAAGAAAAAATAACTATGACTGTTAAAAGTAAATCATTTTTGCTAATGCACAATTAATGCCGGGGAAGAGGAACAAGAAAAAGGCAAGGGACAAAGATGGAAACTTCAATTTAAAGGAGAAATCGTGCCAGGGCATGTGCATGTTTTCCTCATGAAATCAAACGCTGATGGACATTAATGCAGGCAAAGCCGCCGCTTGCCTGTCATGCTAATTTTGTGGCGGAATGGGGGGTGAGGGGGATGGACTCGGGGGGGGGTGAGTGTTCAGTGTTTTGTGGAGGGAGGGGGGAGAGTGGACGACGAGTCCATTATGTGCATCGAAGTGCAACAATGAACCACCCCAAATCACATATCTGCTTTAACACTCGTGCACCTCGACCGGGTGTTGTGAATTCATGAATGTCTGTGTATTACTACACATATCTGCATAACTTTGTCCTGTCCCCTTTGGCTCTCTTCAAAAGATGAAAAAATGCTCTACATTATGTCAAGCATGCAAATTTAATTGAATTAATGACATGAGTCCTAGTCTCTACTGTACTTGAAGGCTCCTTGTCCATTTTTTTCCCTTCCTCCTCTCTAATGTAGAAATGGAATGAGGAACCTAGTGTTTCAGCGTCCAACCATAACATTAGAGTCATTAACCCCTATTCCCCTCTCTCGTGCTCTGGGGTATAGAGCGGCTCCACTTGGCCTCTTTATAAACCCCTCACTCTGTATAGGCCTTCGTTTAAGGCCATCTAAATCCTCCTGCCTCCATATCTTCCCTCCTCAAAACTGGCTTTGCTGTAGCAGTTCTTTTGGCCTAGGTGCAGCACTTTTAAATTCCTCCATAGGTATCTGTGGTATTTGTCCATTTATCCATCTTTCATGAGCCCTAAGCTCAGCTTTGACTGTCTGTACTCCTGTTTCAGCTTTGAGAATTTTTACATCATTTTTCTATTGTATTGTGAGCCGGTGGTGTGGTCTGGGATGTTATTTAACCCTGGGTTTGGTTTCCGTCCAGGAGATGGCTTAGACAACAGCGTTGCATCGCCTGGCACAGGGGATGATGATGATCCAGACAAGGATAAGAAGAGGCAGAAAAAGCGTGGCATTTTCCCTAAGGTGGCCACTAACATCATGAGGGCGTGGCTGTTCCAGCATCTCACGGTAAGCGCAGACATTACATTTTGATGATATACATGTATTGAAACCACCCAACATACATTAGTGCACACAGACCTGACACATAGTAGTTACTGATGGAGCAGGGGAGCGATTGTGATGCTCACCTGTCAGCCACCTGTCAGAGGGACACAGTGACCAGGTCAATCTAATCAGTCTGGACTGTTTACTCTGCTCAGCACACTCTGGGTACGAGGGAAATGGCCCAACAATCCCTGATATTTACTCCAGTATGAGCTCCACTGTTTGTCTGTCCTGGCTTTTCAGCAGATTAAGAGAAGGAAGAAGAATGATTGTGAGGTGTGCAAAGATTTAGGGTGCAGAAGTGGAGGCCTGCAGCGATGTCATGCGAAGACAGAATCAATTCATCCCCTGATCAGTTTCACAGTTTTAAATTCAATTGACTTGGTGCAATTCTAGCTTGTGTTTGAGGTTGAGGTGGCACAATGCACATTTATTTCTGCTCCATAGCTGAGGGGAAATTGTTTGTTTGCCAAACGGTTCATTCAAGACAACTCTGACACTGGTTCATTCACTTCACTAAAAGCAGTGATGCGAGACGTCTTGGATTAAGTGTTCAGATGCCACAGAAATTCAAACATGGATGTTTGTGTCAGTCTGCTTTTCTATCCGTGTGTGTGTGTCTGTGTCTGTGTGCATCTTAGTTAAAAGGGGGTGGTCTGCATGTCCCCTCACCCTCGCTAATGTCAGGACATTATCAGAACATCAGGCGGTATTGATTTTGCAACACAGGTCAGATTTCAGAAGGAGGTGGACACGCCGGGACACATAAGCTGCCTGAGCTTGTGGCTCCCTGTCCCAAAGATGGAGGGACAATGCAGGGGGATGGGCAAAGTGAAAGAAGAGAGAGAGAGAAAGTAGAAGAGTCTTAGCTTAGAGCTCCAGTCTTATAGATCATCCACACATTTAAGAGGGTCAGGTGCCCCCTGCGCACCCTGGAGCCCCCACCACCACAGTGCCCACTCCCTGCTCAAAGCCCCTGTACCCTGATTACCTAACCAAAAGCCCAAGTAATAAGCGGCCAGCAAATACAGCCTAATTGAAAGGGCTGTAAATCCATTACATATTGGTCAGGGATAATCAGGAGTGCTTTAATCACTTTTATCTATTCAGGAGCAGTGAAGCTGCAACAGCAAAGCCCTGAGCCTCGCAGGCCTTAGCGGCTCCACCACGCCAGTCTGCACGCTTATTATTCTCATCATTATCAAAATGACTTCACAGCTGTTCACAGCTCCATCGCTCCCTGACTGGAGACCTCTCACCAAACCAGACCAAGCCTCATTCAGAGGCTTAGGGCAGGAGGGAGGCCAAACTTTTGTATTATTATGATTTTTTTTTTTTTTGCTTTCTGTGTTTTTCCTGCCCGGAGCTTGCAGAATGCTTGGTAGAATGCCTTGTTTGTTTATGAGTGGGACAAACAAAAAAGGCAAATTGTTTTATTGAAGTGGAATTTACTGCATGTTCATATACGCGTGCACAAACTACATAAACACACCTTATGTTTAGACTAGAAATTTCCTCATGATTTGGCATTTTTCCTGGCGAAAGCCTCACACAGCTCCAGCGCTCCTTTTTGCTCAGACCTTTGGGACAAGTCGCCAGCAATTTTCTTTAGAATTGTTTTAAAATTGAATTGAAAGACTGGTAAGGGGAGGAGAGGAGGGGGAAAAGCCCGAAGTTGGGCACATTTTTCAGAGAGCTGGTTAATTCAGACAGAGCAGAGCTTTCAAGGCCCTCTTTCTCTCTATCCCGCTCTCCTTTATTACATCCCTTGCTTGTAGATGTTCTCCAATCTTTATTTGTTTCTTTTGTGTAAAGCCCTGGCCAGTCTTGTACAAATAATAATCCCTCCCTTTTAACCTGCCTGCATTTCTCTGCTGAGGAAGAGGACTAATTGAATTATCCCCCTTCTCTTCTCACCATCCAGTTCTCCCACCCATAAACTCTCTCTCTCTGTCTCTCTCACACACACACACCCATTAACCATTCTCCTTTCTTTTAATTTGTTAAGCAAATGTATTTGCCATAGCTGGATGCGTTTGTGCAAGGGTGAATTCTTGGGGACTTTGGCCCCTGAATGGCCTATAGCGGCATTCTGCCATTCACGCATTCATTAACTGAGGGGTGAGGAGTGAAAGGAGCGGCCTTGTATTTTCTCAAACTAAGGGGCCAGCATGGAGCTCCTCTTCCATGAGCCACAGGGGTCTCTCTACATATGTTCTCAACATCCAGCCATTGTCACATCTTCTGAAAAGCTCAAAAGGACAGGACCCCCCCTTCACACACAGAAAAACAACACAGGCCAATGGTAACAACTGTTGGCTTTTAGATTCAGTATAACAAAATTGCCCTCACCCCTCCCACCCTCCCTTGCTTTACTCTGACCTCACACTCTCTTGGGAGAAATCACAAGATTGTTTTCGTCGTGACTGTCACATACAGAAAGTAACCTCACTTCAACTTATATTTACCGACCAATCCCATCACGCCGACATTCCAGCCGAAGGGGAAAATAGAGTTTTTTTGCACCATATTGATCTCAGCACAACATGAAAAGACTCCACCACGGCTCTGCAGGGAAGCTGTGATAACCCTGACCTCTTTTATGTCGGGGCCATATGCACATGCACTGGAGAGCACGTGAGCTGGCAACCTTAAATGTCCCATATGTAGTTGCCAAACGGCTGGACAGATCAGCTGGTGTTAGCTGGCAGAAGAGGGTCAGACTGTTTCTGCACTCCCATCTTGTATCCTCACTCCAACCCCTTTCTCTCTAATGCCCCCACCAGCGCCGCCGCCGCACCACCACCACCTCCCCTCCACCCCTCGCCATGAGTTTCTGGATGTCTTCCAGCCACATTAGGGGAAGGGAAATCCCAGACTGTTGGTATAAGCTTTTCAATACTACAGGGAGATTATGTTATCAGAAAGGTAAACTTCACTGTTAGGGGTAAAATGTTCTGCTGCACTTCAAAAGCATTGGAATTCAGGATAAGAGGAGAGAGCAGGATAGGTAGATAGAGGAAATGTAAGTTAGAGGAAGAGAGAGAGAGACAGACGGAGAAATAAAAACTGCAGCGATGGGACTTTTTTTTTTTTTTCTCTGTGTGGCAAAAGAGATGCCCTTTTGTGTTTGGCAAAAGCTAACTCTAAAATTTACAATTAGCCCCTCGGTGCCCCTGGCCTTCCTTCCCTCTCACCCCCTGCTAGCCCCCTGCTAGCCCTTACTCACCCCTGTAAAGACAAGGGTCGGCCTCGCAATGAAAACAGGAAGCACTCAGATACAAAGATACCACTCTGGGCTCATGGCCTTGTCTTTTGACTAGTGTAAACCCTCAAACACCTATGAAAATAAATAGGGGACCTCAGGAGCAAACCGGGCCAGTTGAAGGTTTGCATAAGTGTATGTGTGTGTGTTTGAGCCCAAAGGAGGGAGGGAAGGATTGTGTGCATGAGGGAGAGTGGTCAGTCAGATGAGTAAGTAGGTAGCCTTCTCAGGCATCAAGCGTCTCAGGTTCTGTGCTGGGCCACCCTTTGGCCTGGGTGTTTGGGGAAATGCTGTTAAGCTGCTAAGCCAGGTGTATTGGTCCCCTGGGCTCCTTGAAAGGGAAGTGATATATCCTTTGGTCATTTAGAGAGTCCTTGGACAGTGAAGTAGAACTGAATGTTCAGATGAGAAATGTTTACGTATAATTAGGTGGTATTTATATGTAGTTATTAGTATGATACATACATACTTCTGAAGCAATGTGAGCATCAACTCCTCAGCTGCTTTGTGACTGTAAAGAAACTTACTTTGCACCTCTTGGACACCTGAGAGACCATGTTGCAACAGAGCTCGACACCACACCGATGCGAACCCTGCTAATAAAGGCGTTCACCAACTAAAGTGAGAACCTTTGTGAGGAGTTAAGTGCATTGTGTTGCAAACATCATTAGATACACTAGTGACAGTGGCTACCCCCCCCCCCCCACACACACATACACACACTCCCAATCCAAGCCCAAGCCCAACATAGCATTAGTCTCCATGACAACAGGGTGTCATCGTCAGGTCGAGCCCTCCTATGGGAGCTGCTCTCTCCACCACCCTTTATAGACGCACATAAAAGAGCCAGCTCGGGTCATTCACAAGACATGGGCGCAGGCAAGGCCGAACCCTGGCAACGGATGTTTGTTCCATACGATAAACAAGTGTACAAGTCCGTCCCTCAAAAAGAGAGGGCATGTTGTTTGAGTAGACTAAACAGTCAGCCCTGTAGTATCCCCAGTTTTGTTTAAGCTCCTCTAGTCCTTCTAATCCTTGTGTGTTGTTCCAGTACAAGCAGCATTTAACTGGTGGAGACACACATCTGCAAACAGTTTGAAATACCCAGGCCCTTCCTCCTTTTACACTCAACTGCCGAAAGCTGTTTATTCCATATTTGTTGGTTGCCTACTTTTTCTTTCCAGTATACATGGCACAAAACTTTCTTTAATTTTTAATTTTTTTTATACTTCACTTACGTGTTCATTTGTAGATTTTAAAAAGATAGTATTAGTGTTTGGAAATAGTTCAGACTGAAACCAAAAACTTTTTCAAGCCATAAATAATATAAAAAAAGTTACTTTAATCACTGTTTCAATGAAAATCAGTTTGTTTTTCCACCTCTTTAAGTTGTTGTGAGTTTGGCTAAAGAGAGGGTGGAGACAAAGGGGAGGCAGGGAGTGGGTTTAGGGCTAAGAGCAAGGGTGAGGAGGGGGTAAACAAGGGGCTCCTAAGGGTCACAGAGGTGGAAGCCTGGAGGAGGCCCACACACTAATCTGTCATGTGCTTGTTTGCTTCAGGAGCCCAAAAGTCAGTTCTCCAGTCACCCATAGCAACCCAGGCGACAGTTTGGTTCACTGCCACTGCCCAAATGTGTGGCTATCAGTGAGGAGACGCAGGAAAAAAGAGTCATCACGTTGCGTCCATCACAATAACA